TTCCTTTGCATACTTAAACGTATCTCGTAACTTGCCACATTTGTTCTTTCTGTGAACTTTTGGGAGTATGATCAAACATCAGTGAATAATACTTTGATTTTGTTATCCTATTAATGATTTCTAAATAAACTTTATTTACTAATAAAGCAATTAATTCCTTTTGAACTGCAGGGACAAAATATCTTACGGAACCTTTTTTTATATGTGTCAATATGTTTTTTCAATTCTGGGTTGTAGTGACTAATTAATTCCATTACATTTAGGAATAGGCCAGCTTGTGGGTGACCAATAGTCTCAGTTGTTCCTTTAATCGCACCAATTTTTAACCATTTTTCTAATAATTTCCTAACTAAATAACTTTTCTTATGATCACATGAATTTTCATACTCTTCCAATCTATATCAGTGTTTCCAGTCTGCAAACCCTTTTTTAGAATTAGCGATGTTTGTCATCTGTTTCCCAAATAATATACAAGAAAAACAAAAGAGGGAGTTCTGAGGTTTTGAATATATTAACCAGGTTAGCTCTGCAGACTCTCCATTTGATAGCTTTTTCTAAAACCAGTCTAGGGGAAAATGCCATCCATCTTCAGACACTAAATTTTGAAAATCAGCATCTTTCCCTTGCTCGGGACCGTGCTCGATAAGCCAACATCTTATTGACCCAGGGACAAAGGCACGTCCTGTTGCTTGCGGGAGTTACATGGATCAAAGGCAAGTGGAACCTCAGGACTCAGGGTGGCTCTCGCCCATTTCTCCATGGCTAGCTGAGGGAGCCTGCTTCTCAGGGGGATTCCAGCTCACCTACTATCCCCAGGGCATGAGGGGACAGGCCCCGCCTCCTGCCCGTGCCATGTGTGACAGCAGCTGCATTCGGGGCTGGACTTTGCCCCCCCTTCGTGTTTGCAGGGAGACTGGCCCATTTAGCCCCCTATGTCCCAGTCGCTGTAGGACCGGGCTAACCCTGGCTGCTGCGACAGAGGCGTGTGCTATGCTGGTCAGGGCAGGGGGGCCCCGGCGCCTCTGCAGGGCATTCTGGGACTGCCGGTGTGTGCGCACAGGGGCCCTTGCTGCCGGCCTCCCTCCCTGTGAACCGGGTCAGCTGGTCACACAGCAAACAGCCTCTGATCCTCTTCCAGTTCCACTGGGCTGGCCAGGGAAGGGCCCACGGCTCCTCTGCTGAGGGCTTTGGCAGCAGCGGGGGACTGGCCTGTGG